TTTTATGTGGAGACTTTGGAAAAAGTTAGAAAGGAAAAAAAATTCTTGACTGCAAGCCTTCTCACACACTTCCATTTGTTAATAAGCAGTGTGGACCTCTGTGAAGAAGCTAAAATAAATATCTTCTAAAATTATTTGTATAACAGTCCCTCAAATAATGGCTTATTTTGTTCACATATGAGTTACATTAAAATCTGAGAGACAGTTGAACCAAGACACATACCTGCAATAGCATTTAGTTTGTGTGCATTAAATTGGGAAAATGCTGTATAGTTAAATCGGAAATACCTTTTAAATCTATACCAATGAAGATTACATTATGAAATGAAGAAAATATTCTTGTTTGAATTATTGGAATTTAAAAATGGAAATTATTGTATTACTGTAGATCTCAGCAGTTGTAGCCAAATATGTGTTTTAAAAATTATCTTTTTAAGTTGATAGTTTCTTCACTTATTTAATAAATATTCTTGAATACCTACTGTAGGCTAGGCTAGATATTATGCATGAGTGCTGAATTTACTTTATATTGTAAGGTACCTAGGTTATATAACCTTATCTGTTTAATTATCATGTTATTTTACTGGTGATTTCTCATGAGGTCGGCCATATATGTTGGTGCTGATGTGTTGGTGCTTTCCTTGGTGGGAATAAAAGCCTTTTCTGTCATTTTTCTCACTTAGTGACTAAATTTCTACCAAGTTACTAATTTATGTTCATGCATTAGAAATCCTTATTAAAGTGCAAATGTTATCCTATGAAGGATAACACTTTAAACAACTATAAGTCATTAACACATTATCGACATTCAGTTTATCAGTTTAATTAGATGGTAATTTAGCTTGGCCCTAAGGAATTAAGTATATCTGATGATGTGGAAGGGAAGAATCAACACAAGGCAGATCAAAGAACAGGTGCAACCAGACCCTTTATAACGGACACTACTTATACCTGGCCTCCTGGAAGTAGGATGTTCTTAAAGAATACTATATCCAGCTCCAGCTGATTGTCTCTTTCCCTGCTAGCTTGCCTTACACCAAAAGTTTGTTCTAATTTTAGAAAATGAATATAGATATAAGGAATGACTTTCTGTAATACTTTATACTAAGTATTTTATGCATGTAGTGTGTTTTATTGTTTTTGAACCAAATGTGAGTGTCAGTCGCTCAGTCATGCCCAACTCTTTGTGATCCCATTGACTGTAGCCCACCAGGCTTCTCTGTCCATGGAATTGTCCAGGCAAGAATACTGGAGTGGGTTGCCATTCCCTTCTTCATGGGATCCTCCCAACCCAGGGATCCAACCTTGGTCTCCTGCACTGCAGGAAGATTCTTTACCATCTGAGCTACCAGGGAAGAAGGGGTAAATTATAAGCTTAATAAAATTTGTTGATGAACTGGTTTATGATCATTCAAAGATTGATCCTCCCCTTTCTGTGTGACATAGCTTCACATAAGCAGATTTCTTGATAATGCAGTGAAGAGGGATGGAAATTGCCAAGAGAAAATGCTCTCTTGTTGCACTTTTCTTCATTGAGGATCATAACCAACTCATGTGATCTCATTAGGCTTATTATTTAAGGTCATTCTGCCCAGTGACTTGACTGAAGGCACGCAAGGCTGAGTACGGTCAGAATGATAGTATTGCCGTGCCATTTATGTGCATCCGAAACTGTGAACAGGAAAGACTATACCTTTATCTATCTTAGCTGTGTCATATCCTTGGTTTTGGTTTTTTTTTTTTTTTTTTTGGTATGCCATACTATTTGGGTCTTCTTTCTCTAGATGGATTAATTTTGCCAAATTTGATTATTTGATTTGCCTTTTTAGGGCTATAATTTCTATACATGGTCAAAGAGAAAGAAATACTAATAACTCAACTGCCCATCTTATTAGAAGGAAACTTTTTTTAAGACTTTTGAGACAAAGAGAAAGTTGCCTCTCTTAAATAACTTAAGTCTTTTCCCATTACCATATTATTTATGGCCCATCAGAACCTATGTAAAAACCTGTAAACCATTTGGGGATTTATAGATCATGTATTATTATTTTTAAATCATTTGTAATAATTAAGGATGCTATTTTTAAAAAGATAATAAAATACAGGTTTTCATATGATAGCACACTTTAAATTATTGATAAATAATCTTGTATTAAAGATCTGACATATCTTCATCCTTATGAACACTAATGAAGTGGAAAAAAATAATGTTCCATCATTACAAAAAAACTATTACATTTTTGCCCAGTTATTTGTCTATTTTTTGTTAGGCTTTGAATTTGTTGACATATTTTCTATATACCACATTTATATTAGATATAGAGGTATTTTTAAAGAATATATTGTAATGATATGGCATACAGTACATTTTTCTTCTTGAGCTTCTTTGACCTCATAACTCATAAATGAGCCAGTAACCACAACCCATTTGAAACTTTTATATTGACGAGAGAGAAGCCCTTTAAATCATGGAGGAAAACATTTTGTTTTAAAAACTTAGATATAATACATCACTTTTTTCAAAACAGTATTGTCTGTATTTCATGCATGGAATATGGCCCTTCAGGAATCAAATTTTAAGTAGTACAAAAAGTGATAGCTAAAATTTTAGAGAGACAGAAGTTTATTAAAAACTTTATGAGTGATACCTGTGCCTACTTACAGAGCTCAAAATTTGAAACCAGTTTTCATCTCAACTTTACATGTTAAAAATCATAACTTTGTCCCATAATAATCCTTTTTAAACTTCAATTGAGCTTTCCGTGTGTTCATAAATATAGGTACTTTAGGGCTTTCTTCCACATCTCTCGATTTTCATTCCAGGAAAATGAGCATAGTGTATTCTTTTGGGTATATATCATTAGAAATGAATGTGAACAGGGAGGAATAAAATGAATTAGTATGGCTATAGCACTTCCTTGCTAATGATGCATGAATATCTATAATAATATAAGGTGGTAAAGAACATTAACAAAAGCAAGTTGATTTTCTAAAGGTTAGACAGGATTTGTACACATCAGAATTCAGAAGGATATAATTATTTAAGGTAGAGTTAATGAAATTCAAATGAAAAGGAAAAAAATCTGAATATGAGTGCACGGTTTTGCATAAAGAAGAGAAAATGAACACGATACTTCCAATTACACTGATTTTTTAATAACTCTCTGAAATTTTTAATAAAACCAAACTGAAAGGTATACAGTATATATAGTTTATTCATTATAGATCTGCATGACTGTGTCAAAAGGAACGATGTATTTTAAGGGGTAGATAGTAAACTAAATCTCCAAATACCCAAGTCTCTTGGTTCACTTTTACAATGAGTCTCCGTTCATCGTATATGAAAATTCTGATACATTTCTCTGTATTGAAAATTATTGTATCTATTATAACTTTATAATAAATGAGAACACTCAAAATGTATAACTGAATTTTCTTGAAAATGAGTTGACAATTTTCCAAATATTCTGTTTCTCATAAAAGTTCACAAGATCATCCCTTAGCTCTCACTCTTCACCTGATATTCATCACTTAACTTCTCTTATCTGTGATGACTGGATACTATGTATGAAGACAGTAGGAGGGACGAAATCTTCCAACTCTAGCCCAAAATTCTATTATTTTAATGTAAAATTATAAGTGCATTTCAATTATCATTCCATTGATCAAGAAGGAATAAGTGTCATATATTTGGCCAAGGTACACGCAGGAAGCCAAACTTTGTAAAAGGTACAATTTTGTAATGTCAGCTAATTTGTATAATTCTATGAATTTGCAATATCATAAGTAGATAAGCCATCTAAATTAGGATTATTTTGTTTTTGTATTATCTAAGAAATGTGTACAAGAATCCTGGACCTGGGTGATCAAAAGAAAACATAAATAGACCAGCTTATATTTTTACTCATCTTTGTGCGTGCTCAGTCTGGGATCCTAAACTCCATTTAATTACATTACTGCAAACATGGGGATGGTCTCCTTGTAAAGGCTGTGCGGTAACAAATGACTGCATTAGCATGTTTATCGTCAGAACTCTCCCAGAGACCCTGCCACTGGAAACCTTCAGCTGACCACATCACCAGGCAGATGGCAGTCCATGAACTCAAAACAAAGTTATTGGGAAACTAATTTTAATTACAAAAATTATTCTGCTTAGAGTGTAAACAGAGAGTAGAGGTCATTTATCTTTTTGCATTTGTGTGCCGTACAGTGTTTATTTCTTGCTCTTATAAAGAATAGGGAAAGAGGCATCCCTGACCAAGTCCAAATAGTCTCTGAGGCCCGAATGTCCATCTCCTAGCATGTGAATGGCAGGTAGTGAAGCATAGTTGCAGGAGGAGAGGCGGGTGCTCTCTTGGATCTTTGGGTTTTGGGGAGTTCTTATTAGAATGTGAATTTCATTCTCAATCCTACTTATCTCGGGCCCTACTTTGCAGTTTAACTTAGCAAGAAACTAGCATCAAAGAGAAGGGTTGATGCTGGGAATTTAGAGGAGAAAGTTGCTTAATAGAAAGTTAGCTACCAACGAAAACCACTTTGTCCCTTTTGTACCTCAATCAAGATTAGGGGAAAAAAGTTTAGAAAAAGTCGCTTGGGTATGAATACCACAGATGTAGAACCTGCTCCCAACCCCCACTGCATCCCACCCCATACTTAGTTTTCTAGTCAAAGTAGAACTGCATTTAAAAAAAAAAGTTTTAAAGATTTATTTGTTTCTTAGTGAAAAACTATCCCTCTTGTGACCTTATGACTGTTGGTCTTTCATTCTCCTATCCATGATGCTAATGTGTGCATATCTCTTATTATAAAATGTTCTAACACTTTTTGAAAGAGAGGGTATGATAATAGATAGCCTTGTTACTAGACTTACCATCTTGCATTGCTTTTATCCACTTTTCAGCCCTCTGTCAGCTATAAACTGGAATCTATATATGAATTCAGTAAAGGTCTTTTCAATATTAGGAAGCTAAAAGAATTGTTCTTTTGTATATCTATACCAGCACACTGTCCATGAAGAATCAGTGATGGTGATGACCGAAGACATGCCTTTGGAAATTTCTTATGTGCCTTCTACTTACCTGACTGAGATCACTCACGTCTTACAAGCCCTTTCAGAAGTGGAACAACTTCTCAATGCTCCTGACCTCTGTGCTAAAGATTTTCAAGATCTCTTCAAACAAGAGGAATCTCTGAAGGTAAAACCAAAGCACTTCCATTCAGATTTTTACAAGATCATTACATTGATCATTACTGGACCAGAACATTTGACTTAAATATGTATACTGAAGGCATTTTGAGTTAACATATGGAAATCTTAAAACACTTTGCGAGAGAGTTAGTTTTAGAAATCTGGTGGAGAAAGAGAAATGTAAATTAAAATAGATGTGTTATTTCTTCCCAAAATGAAGAAACTCAGAAAATAATAATTTCTTATATTGAGTTGGCCAAAAAGTTGCTTCATGATTTTCTGTTGCAGCATACAGGAAAACCTGAATGAAGTTTTTCGCCAACCCAGTACTATTGTTCAGGGCAGAAAGAACTCACTAAAACACATACCTTGCTAGAGAAACAGTTTATTCCCAACTGATACATTGCTTGTCTTTCTTTTCCCATAAAAGGGGAAATTAGATGAGGTTTTAAATTATATCTGTTGTGTATATCATTTTAGTTTTCTATTTTCCACTTATAATTTATAGATTCCATTTCAGATTAGTGTCAGTATCATACTACAACTTTTGGAATGTAATCAAATATAAAGCAGTAAAATAATTTGTTTAAAATCACCAGGCAAAAGCCTCCAGCCAAATCCAACTTTTTTTTCATAGCACCAACTATAAGTTTCTGAATTCCAAACTAAAACAAATGAGGATAAAGAAATGAACTTTAAATTTTAGAGGGACGTGTCTGAAGATAAATGTAGCATCAAGAAAATACACATAATAGTTTGTGTCTCTATTATGTGTAAAAAAAAAAGATAATTTTTGTGATCATACATTTCACACTCAAAATGAAACTTTCTAGTGTAACCAGAGCTTAGTATTTTCCAGTGCAGATAGTGTAAGATTACAGACAGACAATAAGTTTGCTCTCAACAGCACCTATCAGGTAAAGAATTTTCTACTCTAAATGATTTCTTGATATCTCATTCCATATCACATATTTGCTTAACTATACAAATATAAGCCATTTGTTTGTTTTCGAAATCAGAGTAGCAATATCTTGAGTGACTTGAGTTTAATTTCATGCATTATATCAAATAAGCTAAAAAAGTATACTTTAAAATAAAATAGATGCATGAATCTCTGGAGCTCCTCCATCCATTTGGTATGGTGCTGTTACTTGTTCTCTTTGAAGTAAAAGTCAAATCACTCGTGGGTACAGTGAAGAAAAGAAACTCAAATCAATTGATAAAAGAGACTTGCCAACCTTCCTGTCATAATTCACATTAACTGATTTCTCATGACAGCACAGTTTGTAAGTTCATCATTGTCCTTCAACATGTAAATCACTGCTAATGAAATAATATTCATTCCTTTCCATGTTCATGGACAGACAGGTCAGGAGAGCAGTGACCCTAAACTTATTAAGTTCACAGTTGTTCACAATTGAATGTCTTTGTCCTCATACCTCTTAACCTGGTATACTCAGAAGGATAGGCCCCCGGGTGCACTCACAGCTAATTATTTTTTCTTGCAGATATTTTTAATAGTCTTATAGCTGATACCAAAAAAGACTGTGATGGTATTGATTACTGTGATTTGTAAAACTGGATTATTGTAGATTAAATCTAGCTAGATTATTGAATCCTCATTAGATGGAGTTTTAGGTATAATGCCATCTCACTCTCACCATGTCTCCTGCAATAAGCAAATGGTCTTCTTACCTTTACTGGCTTTTTGAAGGGGGATAGTTTTGATCTCAGTCTTTTCAATGAATATGTATTTCCTCTTAAAGGTATTCATCATTGTCATTATCTAGTAGTAAAAATAGAAAAGCAGTGCATAAATTGTACAGCTGCTGGTTGAGAAGGTTTGAAATTAAATTGTGGTTGATTTTATTCCTGACAGATTTGCATGAATCAAATTACAGAACTGTAGTAAGTAGTGCTGTGATTTAACATACGTATTTTTTTAAGTATAATACAACACAAATAATGTACAATAAGTTAAAATGAGTACTTTCTGAGCTAAGTATAAATAATATAGCACATATGATTTCCACAAGTGTATTGAATCAGAAGGCTACCTAATCATTTTGACAAGAACTAAGCAGATAAACAAACACCTATTTACATACAGAAACCTTCATTTAATATTGCTACACTAGCTCAATGGCTTCCCAGGTGGCTCAGTGGTAAAGGATCCACCTGCCAAGCAGGAGACATGGGTTTGATTCCTGGGTCGGGAAGATCCCCTGGAAAGGGAATGTCAACCCACTCCAGTATTCTTGCCTGTAAAATTCTATGAATAGAGGAGCCTGGCAGGCTGCATGCAGTCCATGGGGTCACAAAGAGTCAGACACAGCTAAACAACTGAACTCACATGCTCATTGGCTAAGGCATGTGTAGTGCTAAGTCGCTTCAGTCATGTACGACTCTGCAACCACATGGACTGTAGCCCACCAGGCTCCTCTGTTCATGGTTTTCTACAGGCAAGAATACTGGAGTGGGTTGCCATGCCCTCCTCCAGGGGATCTTCCCAACCCTGGGAATGAACCTATTGAACCCATATCTCCTTCATTGGCAAGCAGGTTCTTTATCACTAGTACCACCTGGGAAGCCCAGCTAAGGTATACCTAGTGATGAATGAGAAACATGTACAAAAATATATCAGAGAGTATTATTATCAATTATCTGCTTAATTAGGCCTTAGTTACTCATTTGGGACCTGGCATGAATAAAGGTGAATTATTAGGACAAAAAAAAAAAAAGCATGAGTTAGAATAAGGATGACAGCTACAATTTCTCTTCTTCAGTAATGAGGATCAATTTGTATTCAGTGCTTAGACACTCGATAACTAGCCTGTATTAACTAATACTCCCCATAATGAACTATCTAAAGTTATTATCCACATCTTATAGATGAAGAAACTTAAGAAATATGAAATAAAGTAGCTTGGCAAAGTTGACACAGCTAGTATTGGTCAAGCAAGGATTTAAACCCAAGCAGCCACCTTGCATGAAGTGGTTTCTAGGGTATTATGTGGAGTATAGCAAGGATGAATCTGGGTAAAACATGGTAGAATACTGAGATCTGGCATGGACCAGATCATAGGAAAAATGTTCTGGATTCAAATTCTTATTGAATCTGTGCCAGCTTAAAAAGATTCTGTAAAAAGAAGCACATGTCTTTCATGCACCTGTTGGCCTTATGCTTAGTGAAATAAGTCACACAGGAAAAGACAAATATTGTATGTTGTTGCTTATATGTGGAATCTAAAAAATTTTAAAAAATGAATGTAACAAAACAGAAGCAGGGTTGGAGATAAAGAGAACGAACTAGTGGTGACTAGTGGGGAGAAGGAAAGGGGGCAGGACAAGATAGCAGTAGGGGATTAAAGAGTACAAATTACTATATTTAAAATAAGTTAGGTACAAGGATATATTATAGAGGGCAGCAACTATTTTATAGTAATCTTAAATAAGATATAATCTGTGAATATATAGAATCGCTATATTATACATTGTAAACCATTATAGTGTTGTACATCAATCCTACTTCAGTAAGAGAAAAAGGGAGGAAGGAAGAGAGGGAGGGAAGGAAAGAAGGAGAAAGGGAGGGTGGAAGGAAGAAAGAGGAGAAAAGAAGGAGAAAGGGAGGTGGAAAAAGGAAAAGAAATGGAGGGAAAGAAAGAAGTCAGACATGCATCATTTCAGCTGTTTCATCTAAACTAATGATAGCAGAGATGCTCTGGTTGAGGTGGATAAGATGTTTTGTGTCTTTGATATACAAAGAAGTGACAAGAAGTGTAGACACATGGAGGAAGCTCACAGGTATTGACAGGACAGTTGGGCCCAATGTCAAGTTTAGATAAGATCAAGAAGTAAAGGCAGCCCTTATTCAACCTCAGCAGTGCTGGGGAGAGCTTGACATACGCTGAAAAATCAAAAAAATGTACAGTGAAGCCGTTCACTCTTCTTTGACTGGTTCAGCTTTTAGGCAGGACCCTCGAGACCTTAAAAGGAACTATTGAGACAAGCCAGTAATGTAAGGAGTGAGGATTCATTCATTCAAATGTTTGTTAAGCTCTTCCCATATTACAGGCATTGCTCTAAGTGCTTAAAAACAGTCAGTGAAACTGATGGACTCCTCCCAACTACAGCTTTTGTTATAGCAGAGAGAGACAGAATATAGCCAAACAAGCAGATAATAAATAAGCAAATGCTGTATGTTAAAGACGATGCAAGCTTTATAAATAAAAAAAAAACGGAGTTTAGATAAGGGAGTATAAAACTATTGAAGGGGAAGGAGATGGTAGAATGGCAAGATTGGGATTGTGATTTTTAAATAGAGCAGTAAGGGCTTTTGAGCAAAGATTTGGAGAAGGAAGAGAGTCAGCCTTGCAGCCAGATTTGCTGTCCAGGCATGGTAGGTAGGCCAGTGCAAAGGCCCATATGTTGGGTGTGTGCCTAACCTGATCAGTGAACAGCAGGGAAGCCAGAGTGCCTGAAGCGGAATGATCCAGGGAAGGGTAGCAGGGCATGAGATCAAAGAGGTCATGGGGAATCCAGGTTGTGGAGGGTCTGATGGACCACTGTGAAGACTATTGTTCTTGCTGAGTAAGATAGCCACCATTGTAGGTTCTGGAGAAGATGAGTGTGGCACAATCTGATTTATGCTTTAAAAAGATCACAATGGCTGCTCCATTGAGAATAGAACTGTAGGAGACCAAGGGTAAGAACAAGAAGGACAGTTGGAAAATGGATGCCAGTGGCTTGGACTTGGGTGGTAAGGAGAGATTTTTCAGATTTGGGGAATGTTTTCAAAGGGAATATAGAAGGTTTATTTCTGTGTTCACCAAAAGCTAGAGCATGGTTGTATAAAAGGCCATTCTCAGCAGAGTTTGGACCCAGGAGAATTTTGGAGTCCTGTGAACTCAGTGAAAGATCCCTTAAGAATGTAAGATTCCTTCTCATAGAAAACTTGGCCTTCCCTACACCAGCCTTGCTGTGAAGTAGGGGCAACAGTGCTGGTAA